ATGGGCTTAATAACCGGCGATTACTGTAACAGAGAGCAGTCTGGTTCACATCGTTTAGACATTGTCAAGAAAGTGTCCCGGTATCGAATCTAAGAGGTAACGATATGTGGAAAAGTTAGTTGTACTTTCATTTTTTCCAAATGTTGTTGTTCCAATTTCTTTAAAATGCGTTAGACTATTTTGTAGTATGTGTTAAATCGTTGTAACAAAATCTACTCCCTTCGTTACAACAGTGCCACTTTATTGTCGGAAGTTGTTTGCAGTTGCTAAGTGCATGTACTTAATGGAATTGAAATTTCTGCCAAAACAAATTAGTTTGTCGGCAGCGAATTAGGTTTACACTTATTTCAAACGTGCAAGCTTTATGAGAAAAAACAGTCGGTGTCTGAAACAAGGTCGAGCAACCCTACTCTTTAATAAATTCGGAGGCTGATTGAAAACTGCGCCCATTCTATCGTAACATTATATGCGGTCTTCCCCGTTCTGCTATTCTAGTCAATTAAAAATGGCTAGAAAGACATTTATAGAACCGTCTCGGTGTTAAATTAAACAGTTAAGAAACGAGAAGCACGCCTACGCAAATAGTGAAAGCCTTTCGCTAAGAACCAAAAAGGGCACTTCACTTGAGATACGGTTATATACGCACAAAGATGAATGCAAGCTTTTTAATCTCATAACAAATATGTTTATGTGTACGGTAAATGGGCAAGGTAAGAAATGAACCACACAGGTATTTTAATGTTTTTATCTCACAATACTGAGATATCACATTAATGTCTTGTTTTTAATTAACCGACTATACGTTTCAGCATTGGGTTATCCGGGTGAAGCCAGCCAAAGAAGATAGTAGACGAGGCTTGTACGTGAGCATAATTAATCCAGAGAGATAAGGTAGACTATGTAGCTTCATGCCAACTTTAAAACAGCACAACGGTATGCTCACACTTATACATAAAAATTGCATGAATACTCCCTATATTGTACTCTGTTTGGAATGGTTACCACGTATTCATTTGATTGAGAACTCTAGGTCTTCCGAATCAAATTTTGTGGCTGTACTGTGGATGGTGTTCTTTTTTTCAGCAAAAGACGTTTATTTAAAAGCCGTCAGCTGCCTCTCAAACTGACCTTTCTTCATATTCGCTTTCAAGTAAAAGCAGACATCAGTCAGGTGCATATTTTTGACGTTCAAATAAAAGGACAGAAAAAAGACTTTCCGCAGACAAGTGTGTGGCAAGATGCCATGATCAAGACGCTGACTGTAAATATCGGACAGTCGCTAATGGCTGAACGAAAATGAAGGTGGGCAAAATTTTCACGTATAAGTCATACGTGCAGTACGTGAAGAATGAGGAGATACAGTTCTGCGAATGCTGCAAAAAAATTTCAGGACGAAATTTAACGGGGTAGTTAAACGTATATCTGGATAGGTTATTTTCATCAACTGAGTGGATTTAATAATAAGAAGGGCTTTGGTTTGGAAAGCTGCCCTCTTGCTTATAGTTATTGGGGGAAATAGGCTCTCATTTTGGCTAAATCATGAGTATGTTTATATAAAAGGAAGACTGTATGCTATAAGGAAAGACAGGACGAAACTTTCTTCTAATATACATTGTGCTGTGGAAGAATTCTATAATTAGTAAAAAATGTGGAATAATAACCCCTTCCAGTACTGAAAAATGTTGTGCGAAGTTGATCAAATGGAACTAAAGCAAAGTTAAAGGAATCACATTTATTTTTAGAAACAAGCAGTGCTAGAAGTTTAAAAAAATTATATTTAGCTATTCCCTGAAGTTTTTTGGCAAAAAATGCAGTAACAAAAGTTCTTGGTAGAACATTTTTCTTTACCGCACAGCTCGTCGTGCGCGTAAACAAAGTTTCTACATGTTACTGCGCAGACAGCCAAAAGAAAGCCTTATTGAATGTAAGTCATGTAGAAATATAGTTTTTGTAAACAATAGGTTCCACTCAAGCGTTATTTAGAAACGGAACCGACAGAAGAATAACAAGCATTTCAAAAAATGGCCATATACGTGGCCTACTTTTTTTGCATTTGAACGTTTATCACGGATCTTGTAATAAATCTCCTTAAGCGAAAAATAATCCATTATAAAGAGAAAGATATGTTCTTTCATCTACTGTCAAATTTAATCGTTTTTCTTCAGGTAAATTAAGGAAATTATCAAAAGTCTCCAATTTCACTGCGACATTACCTTGAAAAAAGTCAATATACGCGGAAGTTCGTCAGCTAAATATTCAATAAAGGCATTTTTTATAGAGGTTACCTATTATGGAAACTTTTTTATTAATCTAAGGTATAGCAATATGCATGGTATCCAGGAGATATGTTTTATGCTCGAAAATGTGGTTTGCTGTTTTGAAGCATTTCGAAGTTTCAGTAACATGGCCACCTGCATAGGAAATAATATCCAAAAGCTCGTTTTTTCGGTAAATGCTGTTTAGCATCCAAAAGCTCGTTTTTTCGGTAAATGCTGTTAAGTTATATCTTATTTTAATAAACGTCAAACAAAACGGAGAATTAGTAAAGTGATCAATGAATACAGCAAAAATTTCCGAAATCAAGAGAGAATTTATTCAAAGATATTCAGTAACTACAAATGTAATCATTCTCAAATATACAAAATATTTCGACTAAAGGCAAGTTCTTTTTGTATGAAGAAATTGGTTGCTTTAGGTTTTATACTTAACAAACTATTGAAATGTATTGCTCTAATTTGTACCGGTTTTTGACGTCTCCACAAGCTGGGAATTATCGAGAAAATTTATTTTTCTTGACAAACACTTAGTACTTCTTATAGTTCTTTTAAGTATTAAATATGCCTAATTTTGCTCAGTATTATTTATACGTTTTCGTAAATGCGTTCCCGCTGGTATGGGAGAAATAATCAAACATTTACAATTTAGGAAATTTGCTTGCAGCACTCGCAGAACTGTACCTAATTTCATCTAGAAATTTAGGACCGACCGTGCCTAAACCTGAGACAGTGACCACCCCATCTGAACAGATTTTATGATATAAATGGTCTGACGTCAAGCAAGCGCAGGAGGCGACAGGCATTTTGGAGTCTAACTACGAAGTGGTCATTATCCGTCGGGCTATTCAGAAAATCCATTACAGTCCTGGGGTTAAAAGACAATATTAACAGCAAAAGAGCTCAGGTTTCATCGATTGCATCGTGCAAGCTGGCTGTTTAGCCTCTTCGCTGGACTTAGTAGACCTTAAATCAAAATTCTGTATGAAGGACCATAAAAGACCATAGCCAATCGCCATGAGCGATAATTAAATACTTCTTTTAATCCGCTGGACACCCACTGTGATGTGACATCAGTGACTGGCTAGGGGTTGACTGGCCTGAGTACCACTCAATTTACTGCTATGTCAACATTACGCGCTTGCCTTGGGTGTTGCCCTCCCATTTCCACGAAAAACAAACCCATCTCGTAGACTTTTAGCAACAGGTTGCTATAAATAAATATTATGACATTTTTCTCATCCTCCGAAGGTAGATGTGCACGTAGAAAGCACTGTAAGTAAATCGACTTTTACGCAGAATAAATTCTTGCCTTTCTGTTATCATTGTCCCTGAGATAGTTAATCTAGTACTGTTTCTGTGTTCCGCATGCTCCTCCCGCTGAAATTTGTTCACCAAATGGACACTATCGTTTGGATTGATGGGAGTTTTTGAGGTGTATAGGGCTTCGGGATTTTCCAAGGCCGCTCATGAGCTCAAAGATCAACAACTCCTGTCACGTGTCAATGCCAATTTTGTATCATTAAAAAAAGTGTCAGAATGTATTGCCAGACCTGGACCCTTTTGGGGTTGTTTCCTGCCACGGGGACTATTAAGTATCGTAAATTTCTCTTTCCGATTTGCGTTGAATACATATTTCATTGTTTACGTTTCTCAGCTTTCGGGCTCTTTCTGGAGTCCATCGTCAGAGATAAAAGGCGTCAACGAAAGACAAGTAACCGTTATTGGAGACGGAGGCCAATTAACCATTATGGAGGGGAGGGGCAGTCAAACCCTAGTACCATCAGTTCGGAAATGCCTGCGCAGGGTGATGTATGTCGGTGCCAGATCGATAAATCGATTGACTGAGTTCTCATTTGAGGCCCATGCTTCAATCAATTCACGGCTTGTTTTGTTGCCGGCGTGCACGACTACCCTTTGCAACGCCGAAATTGAGCAGACTTCATTGCAGCGTGAAGAACCACTTACATTACTCGAGCAGCTACAGAGGGGGGAGATTCAATCGCTGTAACAAGAAGTTCATTGATCTGACGTTTCTGGTTCTCCCTCTAACCCAAGCTGTTCGAGTCATAGGTATCTGGCCCGTAGTCCATCAACGAGCGCAATGACCCCCTTTCCCATATGTTGCACTGAGACTTTGCCTGGGCAGGGGGAATTAGTCGGTGGGGGGTGATCACCACTTCCTATGATAGCGAGTCAAGTTGTCAATTCATTATCACGCCCACATCCAACCCAGATGATGAAATCGCAGCACTTAATGACCTGAAAGTGAACTGCCAAGCTGTCGTCGTATGAATCACGAATTCAAGCGATGATCACGGCAGCTGCTAAGTAGAGTACGCATATGGCCGTGCGGTCAAAG